ATGGAAATGGTCATCACTAACTCTATATAGGGTACTAGAGCCCCTAAGGCCCTATATAGTAGGTACCTGGGGGGTTAGGGTCTTGGAAGGCCTCCGACAGCTAAAGTTTCGACCCGAGGCTCGCAGAAGATCGGCAAGGCGGAGCTGAAGGCCACCGGCATTGGCAACTTGGCCTTACCGCCAAAACTGGCATGTCCTTCAGATTCAGAGTGGCAATTTATGGCGGTTATGGTGATGGGCATGATCATCGGCCATGGCGGCGATAGCGATTCATGAGCGCTCAGGCTACCCCTACGACCTTGGCTACGACTGTTTCAGCTGTCCCCACTACGGCGACAACGACGACGACTGCTGCTTCTACTACTACATACGTCACAGTACATACTAGATATGCCACTGTTCCGTACTAAGTTACATACTACGTGCATATTGCCAATCCTCCTATTCATTCGCCCTCTCCTCCATTACTACTACTACCACCACCACCACCACCACCACGACGACTACTACTGCTACGGCTGCTAAGACGACGACAACAACAGCTACTACCGTTTCTGGTGCCACGGAATGTGGTCTTGGCTCAGACCTTTTCCAAGTTTTCTCATGTTACATGGAGATTTATTCGCGGAACAACTGCTATGTCCTGCTGCTGGCGTATGACTGCATGGCACGCTCATGCGGACGCTTATGAACACACACACACACACACACATACACGTAGCTTGCAACAATTGCCTCAACTCGGCATTGAAAAAATCTAGATGAATGGGCGCTGCATGTGAAGTCCTTGTAGTAGTTTCGATAGTCCCATTTCGCGCGTGTCAGTTCATTGTAGGTATTCACACATAGCGAAATCGCTGTGTCTTGCGTGACGCACTAACACTACTACTGCTGCAGCTGCTGCTTCGACTGCTGCGATGGCTCATGGTGTTGATTGCCAGTATATTTCAGGCCCAGGCCTGGAAGACGCAAAGCTTCAAGTTCCAAGCCTTAAGCCCGGCATGAAGTCTGCGGTAACGAAGCAGTCCGCGTCTTTGGACCTGAAACTAAACATAGGGATCGTCGAAGTTATCCTAGAGCGGAGGAGTGCTTGTAGAGTGCTGACATGCCGTAATCCTATGGAGCTCTCGACCATGAGTGGCTGGAAAACAACTTCAGATTCAATTCCTGAAGCCGTCCAAAACCCACACGCGCTAACCCCCCACAACAACTTGTAAAGCCTTGCCTAACCCCGAACACAATGAGTCTTACTCCCACAGGTCTGGGGCCCTAATATTCCCCAAATTTTAACTGGCGTCGTTAAGGAAATCTAGAAGGAGATCGTAGCAGAGGGCCCTATAAAAATGTGGGTTCTGAGGGTTCATGCACATTCTAAAGCCCCCTGAGCCCATGAACCTTGCTGAGGGCGTGAGCTGGCGAAGGCCTTTTGGCAAAGTCACCGACCCTCCGCGCCAGTTTCAGTAATATAGGGGCCTCAATAATTAGAATAGGGTTTGGGGTTTGGTGTGGTATAAATTATACGATACTTATAATAAGCAACCCCCAAAACCCGGTTCTGATTGTTAAGGCCCCTATCTTACACTGTTAACGGGTTTGGGATGTCAATATTCAGGCAGCTGCACAAGTCCTGATGTAGGTTTGCTTGCGTTTGAGGAGTTAGGTTTTCGGGTCCAGGGGCGCTTGGAGGTGGCTGCTTGTTGGTTACATTAATAAACAGGGACTGTGAGAATCAGATAGCATCTGGGGCTTATATTGCAGTATGGTTGTACGAAGGGACCCCAACATTGCTGTTTGGAAAACTTAGGTGATTGGGCTTCGGATCCCCTTGGTCATGGGTCGTTATACTGAGTTATACTGGAACCTTGGTATAATCATTGTGTGCACATATAGGACTTTAGGATGAGGGACCGGCCCTCAGCAGAAGAAGGATGTCAGCCGTTGTTCTTTCAACTAGACCAGGGTTCAGGGTTCAAGCTTGAATAGCTCTTCAAGAAGGGCTGTTGGAGTCTCTAAGAGCACAAGGCATACGCCACACCACCTGATCCTCCCCAAACCCGACCTTCGGGGCTTCCGTTGGGCCGCTGGTTCGTCCACGTCTGTTTTCAATGCATTTAAAGAGCTTGCACGTTGAGCCAGACAGCTAGGGCTGCATTGCTTGGGCGCAAGGTCTGCTAAGTGATGAGGGCCTGTAGAGACCTGGTACTGTAGACGGCAAAAGGCCAACTCACATAAGCGCAGTTCAGGGGCAACAGCTCCCATCCTCAGGATCCGCAGCGGTCGCCAGGTGGGGCCTGGCGAAAGCACACTATAAGCATTGGACTGTGGAGAGGGGTGTTTACGCTCTGTGCGCGTGCAACATGGTCATTTCCGCTGATGTGGGCATCGTTCGGCCAGCCAATACTGAATTGGGGCGAGCTTTCACAAACCGCCGAAAGGATAGACCTACTTCGGATGATCAAGCGAGCTTTAGTAAGATCGTCTGAAGGATCGACATGCCTGGCGAGAAGCAAGTCATCCCTGTTGTAGTTGACCTCGAACGGCCCGGTTGTGTCTTCGTTCTGGACGTTCCCGGAACCCTTCCCGCTTGAACCTGCAACCAGGCATCCCCTCAGTCCAACAGTAGAGAGTTCCAAGCACGGCAGAAAGAGCGTGCTGGCCTAGAAAGGCCTTGCGTATCCCTGCATACCCTCCACTGTACAACAACGAGACAGGGCTTGGCAATGCACGCCTTTCCGACCCCTTTGCATTCGTAGTTTTCTCGAGGCTGGCGTGTGGCTTGGTGGACAGCTGGCGGCAGAGTCTGCGGCCGCGAGTTTGATGTAGAGGCCTAGACAATGGGACCCGAACGGAAAGCACTACGAACTCGTTAGGCCTCTACACTAGCCATGAGCGCTGAAATGCATTACCAGGATTACTAAATGGCCCTTGGTCCGGCAGCGCCTAAATCCGTAACCATGTAGGCAATGCATGAGCCCGAACAAGACAACACAACAAGTAGTGTATATACGGCAGTACGGCATGAATACATAAACGAGTGCATAAGATGTTTCCATGCTCTTTTCCGCGCATTCTTCCAAGTCCTGCGTGAAGTTCACAGCAATGCCGGACAGACGTTCGTGGCGTTGTTCTAAAGGGGTTTCCGGGGTCTGCATTTTGTAGCAGCTACATGGGAGACCACTGGCACTCCATTCACCTGCAAGAACACAACCTCCGAACGAAGAGCTCGATCCGGGCTATTTCCTGCTAGTATAGTGTTTCTGCGGAGCAGTTTTTTGTTGACCAGCTTGCTCAATTCTGATGTGTTTCCTTGGGTAAGGAAACAACCGACTCAAGATGACTCCAGAAAAAAGTCCAGGACATTCTTGAGGTCGTCTTAAGATGTGAGGCTACGGGTCCTCTCCAGGTCTGCTTGGGGTCGCACGGAAATTCGCGCCAGCGGCTGCTAATGCTTCCTTCGCCCTTGCTCCTGGGGACGGCAGGGCGGGCATCCAATGTTATTCTCTTTGTTTGGCCTGGGTGAGCACTTCAACATCATGCCAAAACACGCTTTACTGACATGCACGCTTCAACTGTACAGCACGAGGTGTCTCTGAACTAATTCAGCTGCTTGCGCGTGCCTTCCTCCGAAGTTCTGCGCCGCAGCCCGTGGACATAGACATTTGTGCAGGTTTAGAGAAACAGGTTATATAGAGAGAAAGACATACAACGTTGTGCTTGCAGCTGCTTTTCAGAGTTCTCGGGTTTTCTCAGACTGGTAGAAAGCTTCAGCAATCCCACGCCCGTAAACCTCCTGCAGTCTTTGGCAATTACAAGCTCTGGTACGAGGGGTGCGGATCGTGGAGGCGTGGCGAGCAGACTGTACAGGCAGAGGGCTGGCAAGAAGATACAAAACAAACCCTAAACCCTAAACCCCTAAACCCTAAACCCTAAACCCTAGGTGGAAAGGACTCTGCGAGGGCTTTGGCTGGGCATATAACATTGCAGGGAGAATCTAGGAGAAGCTTGGCGTGCCGCTTCTTCGTGTTGAGAGGTTTCAGGTCTAGAGTTTTGGTAGAAGCCGGCTTTGTCTGAATCAAGTATCGCTGATCAAGTTTCGCGCTGGCGCGGGTGTTTCAGATCAGTACCGCGCATACAAGGCCGAGCCCGCAACCGTACACGATTCAGCCCGGGTTCCTAACCCCCCGTGTCTCTCAACGAAATTCTTGACATCTTTCCAAGGATGGCGCCATCCATGCGACTTTTTGGCTTCGCTGTTTGGGTCGAACCTCCGCTGCCATGAGTATCGCTTGTCTGTTTATGCTCGCAGTGTCCCGCGCGTTTTCCTGCCGATGCGGGCTGAAGCGACTAGAGAGTCCTTTAGCGGATTTTGAGTGTTTCGGCGTCTTCTTGGTCTGCCTGCTGATGGCAGTCGCGAGGAGCTACAGTTTTTGTCAGAAAGCACTGCAGTGAAGACCCCCCAAGCCCCTTCACGGAGGCGAGGTTGGCGAGAATCGGTTGTAGTGGGTACCATGATGTTATGGGTGAGCGGCTTATTGATCAAGCCTCGAATGTCTAAGCTGTATTTGAACTGCCCTTGGTGTGCTTTGGATCCTTCCGTCACGAAGTTCGATGACGCCGCTAGTCCTGGCAACTCACACGAATCCGCCAAAGGCTATAATCTTACAGCCCGCAAAGGTCAACTTGTCTACAAAAAGGGCAACATCCTAAA